GTGAAAGAAGTCAGACACAGAAGACTATATACGGGGGCGCCTGGGTGGCTCAGTCATTTATGTGTCTGCCTTCAGCTCAGGTCATGATCCCGGGGTCCTGGGATCGAGCCCCACATCGGGCTCCCTGCTCAGCAGGAAGCCTGCTTCTCCCTCTCCCACTCCCCCTGCTTGTGTTCCCTCTCTCGCTGTGTCTGTCAATTAAATATTTTTTTTAAAAAGGCTATATATGGTATGATTCCATTTATATGAAATGTCCAGAAGAGGTAAATCAATAGAGGGCAAAAGTGGATCGACAGTAGCCAAGCTATGGGAAAAGCCCAGTTTCCATCGACTGATGAATGGATAAAGATGGTGTGTGTGTGTGTGTGTGTAATGGAATATTACTCAGCCATCAAAAAGAATGAAATCTTGCCATTTGCAATGATGTGGTTGGAGCTAGAGTGTATTATGCTAAGCAAAGTCAGTCAGTCAGAGAAAGAAAAATACCATACGATTTTGCTCATATGTGGAATTTAGGAAACAAAACAGATGAACATAAGGGAAGGGGAAAAAAGAGGGAAGCAACTCATAAGAGACTCTTAACTACAGAGAACAAACTGAGGGTTGATGGAGGGGCTGGGAGTGGGGAGTGGACCAGATGGGTGATGGGCATTGAGGAGGGCACTCGTTGTGATGAGCACCGCGTGCTGTAAGTGATGAATCACTAAGCTGTACTCCTGGAACCATATTACACTATATGCTAACTGTAATTTAAATAAAAATTTGGAGGAAAAACAACACAGGTAAAAAGTAGAATACTGGTTGCCAGGGGCTGGGGGCGCTGGAGCAATAGGGAGCGACTCCTAATGAACACAGGGCTTCTTTTAGGAGAGAGGAAAATGTTCTCATAGTAGACAGTGGTAGCAGCTGTGTGACTCTGTGCATATACTAAAAACTACTGAATTGTATACTTGAGAAAGATGAATTCGATAGTATATGAGTATACTTACAGTATGTATCTTAATAAAGCTGTTATTTTTTTCAATTAAAAGGGTAAACAAAAACAGTGGCAAGTTGTTGAAACTTGCCTTTCGAAGCCATGCTCTCTGCAAGAATATGGATCTAGTAACAGTGAATGAGCACTCGCGTTTCATCCTCGCTTACACGTATGTGACAAAAATTAATACTAGTACTAAAATTATACCAAAACATGTAACATCTTTTTAACCCTTTCAAAATAAGGGAACAAATCAAAAGCTTAAAGTCTCACCCTGACCACAGCCAGTTTCACCCTGCCCACATAAAATACCAGCATGCCAAGGGCAGCAAGTAACTAAGAGAGTCATGGAGCCTTCTAAGGCCGTGCTGAAAACTTTAGTTTCCTTTCTTCTTTGATTGAGACTCATTTGCATTCAATGGCTAATGTGAGCTGTAGTCTGCCACAGGATATGAGTTGTGGGTTTTATTTGTGTACGAGGCCAGGATGGTAAGAGGAAAGATTGTTGGGAAGAAAGATTTAGAAGGGGCCATCGGAAGGACAGGTGGGCTCCAGGCAGGCCTGTCATAAACTTAGTTTCGATGGTTAAGATGCAACTAACATTTCTATTTACTTCCGGATGGGTGGTTCTGGGCTCTGCATGGAAACACCCAATAATGAGCCCTTGAGTTTACCCTGAGAGCGAGAGCATATGAGCTGAGGACACACATAAAAAGAATAAGTGAAGAAACGGGGATTAAGTGAAAGGTGAGACAGTTGTCATTTAAACTCATTCACTTAGGAAACTGAGCAGCAGCCAACGCTTCAGGGGGAAGGGGACAGACGTGCCTCTGCCTGACCCGAGCGACACACGACAGTCTCAACCGCTCCCTCCCGGCCATCAGCCATCTACACCCTTTTGCCGATGAATGTATTGTATCTCCGGCATGAGTAGCTAAGAAAACACTTACTGAATAAATGAACGAAAGAAAACATGTTTCACTCAAATCTATGGTTGAATGTCTTTTATTGAAGCATGGCGGGGAGGGGCTCCTGTTGCTACTGGCTGGTCCACGCCAGTGACCCGCCCCCACATGTCATCTCGGTGGGCCCGTCGGGCTGCCCAAGTCACCCGAGAGTGGGCCACTGCAGCGCAGAGGGCAGCACGCACCGCTCTCCCGCAGCGCAGCGCAGCCCGGCCTAACAGCGCGCAGGCGGGGCCCCTCAGCTCCTACCGGCTTCCACGGAGAGCAAGGCACGCACGTGCTCTGCTCCCGGAGCTGATTCCTTGGTTCAATTCCTCAGCTCCAGCTGCAGTTCCAGGGCGCTGGGCTCCTGTGGCCCAGGACCGAGCGAGCTTCCGGGGCCCAGGTGTGCACGCCACCTGTTGTCCCAGGCCCCGGCTAGCTAGCCCTTCACCACCTTTCCACAGGTGCTTTCTCTGAAACACAAACGACGTGAGGGACCCACTTAAAATCCCTCTGTGGCTTCCCACTCCCTACTGGCCTATCGCTTTCCTTTTCAGTCTCATCGGTGCAGATGGCCTTCTGCCCTACGTCCAGCATCCTATCCGTGCCCCCAGCAGCCAGATTCGTATTACTCCTGCTGCCGGGGACGCTTTATCCGACTTGTGACATCTTCAAAAGCACTTTCCCTGGGAAGAAGCCTCTTCTGACCTTGTGGTCAGGTAGGTATGTGCTAGATACCATCTCAGCTGCTCGGGAAGAACACCGGGACTGGCCGCTCACCATTTCCACTCCTGAATGACAGCCCTCGACATGCTGAGCTGCCATTCTCATTTCCAGGGTCACCTCTCCCTCCTGGGGGAGGCTGGAGCATCGCAAAGACCTTCCACCCAGTACCGCGTGGGCACAGAGTAAATACAGAAGACACCAGTGACGGAGTGGCACAGTTCGTGATGGAGTAGAAATCAAGGCCAACATAATATTTCTGTAATGACTCTGGTACTTTTAGGTTGGGTTAGGCAATATCCTCTCACTAAGATTAGCATCAACTCCGAGAAATATTTTATGCAATTGTAAAGTCCCAGTTAAATTCCTTTGTACCACTGGAGAAATAAAGCCTTTGATTAAAAACTAAAATTTCCCCAGCCCTCTGAAAAGGGGTGGGGGAGGGGAGCAGGTGTGGAAGAATGTGTGATCTGTCATATTCTTTAGTCAGAGCCATAAACGTGTTTGGGTAAGACAAAAAGTGATGTTCTGATAACGTTGATAAAAGTAACTTGAAGATTGGGTCACAGGAAGCCCAAGATAAATGCTGAGAGGAAACAGGTTCTTTTTGAAGTAGCCTCTTCATAATCATTTTCCCACACATTTGTTCAACTTCCGAAGGAGGACTGAAGACCTAATTTGTTTTGCAAATGAAACAGCCTAAGAATGAGACATTCAGCTACTGTTGTAACAAATGTGTTTAGAGGCTCCTCCAACTCACTTGAAGTTTAGGCTGTGGCTAGAGGACTGCTCTGGCAAGCCCTGGCTAACTGTGGTCCCCTAGGCTGGTCCTCGGCTACGTTTTTTGCTTTGTTTTGTTTTTGTACTTTGCTTTTTAAAAGAGATTTCTGGAGGGTCTTCCTTAGGACAGACAATGTCCTCAGCAGCATCCTGACAACATGGGCGGGCGGTAGCAGGTGCATCTTAGTGGTATGGCTTTGGTGAAACTCAACTGGGGAAGATGGGCAGAGGATGCAAAGGCAGCACTATTTATTCTCTTGTTTAGGCCACGGCAGGTCTTTCATCTTGTTTTAGTGTTCCACACACTGTAGGAGTGTGACCTAAGTTAGCAGTTGGGAAAAGGAAGAGAGCGAGCCCAGCAAGGGCCAGAGGAGTCTCCTGTGCACAAAGCACGTTTAAGTCCTCTGAGACTTGCTGACGAATCAAAACTTCTCATTGCCTGCCGTGACTTACGTAAGGCCACCCAGTGCAAAGCCTGCTAATTAATAAACGTCTGTTACAAGAATACATGATTAACAAGAATTCAAGCAATGTTTTGTCTTGCAGATTAAGCTCATCAAAAATTTTTAAAAGAGATCATGGTACCTTAGCACTAAGAAATGTCTTTTACCTTTTAGTCAGATACATTTTACATATGCACCTCTTGAAGATTCTGTTCTCAAATACCAAGTGAAAAAGGATAACAAAATTTGGATAAAAGTATTTTTGGTAAAAACAAGTTTGTTTGTTTGTTTTTAAGAGAGAAAGAGTGCAGGGTGGGGGGCGGGGCAGAGGAGAAGGAAAGAGAATTTTAAGCAGGCTCCACGCCCAGCACAGAGCCCAATAGGGCTCAATCTCACGACCTTGAGATTATGACCTGAGCCAAAATCAAGAGTGGGACACTTAATTGAATGAGCTACCCAGGAACTCCCCCCCCCAAATGTTATCAATTAGAAGCGCGTTTTACCTTTTTATTTTTTAAAGATTTTATTTGTTTGAGAGACAGAGCCCTAGAGAGAGACAGAGAGAGAGAGAGAGCAAGCATGAGTGGAGGGCAGAGGGAGAGGGAGAAGCAGATTCCCCACTGATCCAGGACCCCAGGATCACGACCTGAGCTGAAGGCAGACGCTTAACCAACTGACCCACTCAGGTGCCCAGAAGCACATTTTATTTTATTTTATTTTATTTTTTTTAAGATTTTATTTATTTTTCAACAGAGAGAGAGAGACAATGAGAGAGGGAACACAAGCAGGGGGACTGGGAGAGGGAGAAGCAGGCTTCCTGCCAAGCAGGGAGCCCGACGCGGGGCTCGATCCCAGGACCCTGGGATCATGACCTGAGCTGAAGGCAGACGCTTAACGACTGAGCCACCCAGGTGCCCCCAGAAGTACATTTTAAAACCTTTCTCCCAGGTTTATGTTTCATGATGATTTCTATTTCAGGACTCACAACATGAAATATTTTGGGTGTAAAATGACACTGGGCTCTCTCAACTATACCAAATTGAGATGCCAAGCACAAAGACCATACCTACTAATATCAGGATGGACGTAAACACAAGACAGTTCGGGAAAGAAGCAGACCACCACTACAGGTATTAGGTAAAGATTTTTATTTCTAACTTAACCATGCTGCATGTATACATACAATATCAATATATACAACTTGAACAAATACAATTTATACATAAAATACAATGAAGGTGTGGCTTTTGAAATTAATGCAACAAACTCATTATAAGATTTGCAATTTTGGCCAGTATACAGTATTGTAGTAATCCTACTGAAGTTATTAATGATTTAAATTAATCAAACTACAGTATAAGTTCAAAGGCACTAGGAAGATCTATGTTTTCTTCTAGCATTTTAAGAACAAAGAATCACTAAAAAGGAAAACAAATGTATACATTAAGAAATTGGGCAGACACTGGCGTGCTTAAATGTAAACTCTACCCATTCCTTAATTCAGAGCCCTGTAGGAAAGAGGGACTTCCCTTAATATAAGAGTTAAGGGGAAAGATGTTTTTAAAAGACTGAAAACAACAACCCAAAATCCATAATCATAACTTTTAAAAAAACATGTTACAGATGAAGTAGTACTGACCCCCTCCCCCAAAGTAACCTTAAATTTCTTGCTGCAAAAAAGGTCCCCTTCCCCCAGAAAAAAAGAGGACATACCTTGTCAAATGGACTCTACTTGCCAGATAAACACAAAGATGCAAGCCACCCCCCTATACCTTGGTTAAGCTTATATTTTACAAGAATCTAAACAAAAATGGGGGGGTACTACTATATTTTAATATCTTAATTATTAGTATATATAATTGAGATTTTAAAACAGGGTTTATTAAAGAACATACATTCTACCAAGGTATCTTTTAATAAATAAACATCACTTTTTTAAATTAAAGAGAAAATACTCGACAACCTATTTATATGTGACACTCATTTTAAGATTTTTTTTTTTTTTTTTAATTTGACATAGAGAGACACAGCAAGAGAGGGGACACAAGCAGGCAGAGTGGGAGAGAGAGAAGTAGGCTTCCTGCTGAGCAGGGAGCCCGATGTGGGGCTCGATCCCAGGACCCTGGGATCATGACCTGAGCCGAAGGCAGACGCTTAACGACTGAGCCACCCAGGTGCCCCCGTGACACTCATTTTAAATTTGCCTATTTATTTCAAATAATGAGGTTTCTTCATCTATATCCTTTCACGAAATTAACACTGAAGTTACAAAATATTTCATTTTATGGACAAAGACACAGTACACGTGAAGAAACCACAGAATTGCTATGATTAAAGCTAAATGAATAACTCTAAAGTCAGTATCCATGTTTTCATATGGATATTCAAGCCTGGCTTGAATATCTTATTTTGCTATTTCATAAAATGAATATCTAATGTACATCTGGTATAATCAGTTCTAATGTAAATGCTTTAAAAAAAATAATAACTACTAAAGTGGCCTGTTTTGTAAATTCCTCAATGTTTTGACTTTTTACAGATTTCTTTTTGTTACTGCAGCGGAAGTGGAATAGAAAAATAAATCTAACATACTGGCTTAAATGTCCTATGTTTTAAATAAGCTTAATGCTAAAGTTATTCCTTTCCCACAGCAAAGGGAATACAGTCAACGATATTTTAAGAGTGCTGCCTGGTGACAGATGGGGAGCTACACTTGTGGTGAGCACAGCGTAACAGAGCAGGTGAATCATGTTGTCCACCTGAAACTAATGGAACACACACGGTGTCAACTCTACTCAAAAATAAAATAAAATAAATAAAAAATAAAGTTATTCCTTTCCTATTAACTGGATGGCTAAAGGCTAGAGATAAGGACTTTTAAAAAGAAGTCTGCATCTGTTTTTTTCTACTGGTAAAATGAAGACATTTCTAGAGCAAATACTAACAGTTAAATGTGCATCTACAATTGCCAAGATATTCTGTGCACACCAAGCTTTTACAAGACACAAATTTACCTCTAGTCTTCACAGTACCTAAACAATGCCCCACAGAAGTCATAAACTTCTAACTATCTTACACATTACAAAGAAAATGCTGCCAGTTAAATGCAATTCTTATTAACTAGAAAATATTCACTATACACAGGACATTTAGTACACCACCTTTGGAATGTACTTTAAATTTAGGGACACATTTTTACCACCACCTCACAAGTCCGCCACCTTCGCTCACCCCCACTCCATATACAGCTTTGTAACTACAAACCAATATTTAACCAAACTTATTAAAATACTGTTCACTTAGTAAATACTTATTTATGAAGTCTCAAACTTGCAACCAATGGACTTCAGGGCTGATTACATAATTTTAAAATCATAAAAGATAAAATATTAAGTGGTTCAGGAGTAGCTTCACTTACAAAAAATTTAAAATCTTGTAAGCAGCCAACATAAGAACAATTCTACTACAACTTATTTACTATAAAATAAAATTTCTTATTTTTAGAGAAATATGGTCTAACTGGGAGTTGTCAATAAAAGAAATTAAGGGAAAAATATTTTCTTTTTATAAAATATTAGTAAAAGCAAAACAAAGTGTTTTAAAGCCAAAGAATTAAAAGACACATATTTTCTGCTTTGGTTGCATTTTGTGGAGAATGGAGACCTTTCTCAGTTGGGAGATACAGAGCAATTTCCATCACAATTAGAACTCAGACACAGGAAAGCAAGCATCCATTAGTCACACTTCAAAGTGAATTTTAGAAAATATACACATATGGGCAAAGATCAGTGACCAATACTAGCTTCTTAATTTTCTGCAACTGTGACTCCTTTCTATCTACATACAAATCCAATGCTTCAAGAGAACACAAAACCAGAACAAAAATAGTGCATTTGACTTGAAGTGGCAAAAAAGGTCGAGAGGTCCAGAAGAAACATATTTCCAACTTTTGTATTTTAAACATGTATACTTCTAAAGACTGTTGAATAATAAAATTTTCTAAAGATCAGTAACATGAGTTATCTTATACTTAAAACACAATGTTAGTATAAAAATTAGAACATTTTTAAACAGGCCACGCGGGTGTTAGGATCGAATGTCGTCTTCGATATGTAGCCCACACATTCATATATGACAGCACAACACAGGACAATGAGATCTGCTACTTTCTGTGTGCAAAACAGGACTTACGTTTTTCTTCTATTTTGACTATCTAGTTACCTAATCATTACAGCAGTTGAATAAATCACTAGCAGATTTACGTATACATTTAAACTGCGACTCTCTATAGTATGAGCTGCTCCCCCAACTTCCCTTCACAGTATAAACTGGAGCGTAATATGACAATTTGAAGAACTACCAGTTGTACAATTTTAATATGACATTAATATTTATATTGACTAAGACTTATTAGGCAATTCATTAGTTCCAGTCTTACTCCACAACTTACAGCTTCCATTATTTGAAATTACAGAATAGTCTTCAGTGTTTTAAGTAAAGATTTTGTCCAGGCATGAGAATATCACTAATTTTTATTGTGACTTTAAGTCTGTAACATTTACTGAAGTAAAGAGTCAAGTACAGTTTCAGGCTTTGCAGAACGCTTTCTGTTTGGAGGAGAGAAAAAGAAAACATGAATGCTTTCCTAGAAGACTGAATGCAAACACTTTACATTAGGAAGCAGGTAATACAGGGTGGCCATAAGGTCTAGAAACAGGCCAACGTTTGACAGGTCTATGTTAAGAGATCAATTAAAGCCCACCTTTTTAGGCCAGGGGAAGCTGCCTCAAGTAGGAGCGAGAGCACGGCACTCCACGCCCCCAACCAGAATATAAGGGGTTGAATGGATGAAAACTTCTAGAGCTGGACTAGATAGGCTAGGCCACGCGGGCTGCATTCTTGTCAGACCTGAACCCCTTGATTATCTGTTCTGGGGCATGCTGAAGGTACAGGTTCACTCAGTGAAAAAAGGAGACACAAATCATCTGAAGCAACACCTTACAGACAATGGACCAATGGAAATGCTACACGAACATACTGTGTTCACTGGAATTTTGCTTGGCACATTGACCTATGCATTTCTAATAAGGATATCCCATTGAACATTATCAGGTAAAGTAACGCAGTATCAATAAACCTTATGTTATGTATATTTACCTATGTTTATGGCCATCTATTATTTTCATAATACAGAAGGCTAATTTTGGTACACAGAGAATGGTAAGTGTGGCTCACCTAATGTAGGCTCAAATGAACTTTTTTTATGTTAAACCACAAAATAAATATTTTTAAGTGAGTATTCTGAAAACTGTAACCACATACCTTATCAAATTGTTTGTTTTAGGTCCTTATGGTTAAAAAAAAAAGTGACAAAAACTGTGAGATGTCATGTAAATAATCTGGATTTTGGCTCCTCCTTTGAAACGAGAAGATCCAGCAGCAATGGGCCCTTTATTCTCCAAACTAACTAGGAACAGGGGTAGTAGCCACTTACTCCAGACAGACCACTCTCCACTTTGCCCCAGTCCCAGCCACTGTTTATTTTTCTCCTACACTGAGGCCAACTGCCTTACCGCTTATCATCACCCTTCACTATAATTTTTCTTATCAACTGCAGAGTTAAGAGGAAAATATCTCTATTAAAAAATGGAAAAACAAAAGATCTAATGGAATTTGTGTTTCTTTGACTTCTTCACTCACTAAATATTACGCACATGGCTTCTGTTGACATACAAAAAGTTTTTAACAACTGGAATCTAAATGCTAAAAAAGGTAAAAACTCGTATACTTTTAAAATGCTACTGATTCCTCCTGAGTTCAACTATACCAAATTTATAAATGTTAGGCTATATCTATGATATTACATAACACAAAAATATTAAAACCATACAACTTTATCTTACATGTAACTCAGAAGTCTCTAGACTCAAAGTAGGGAGAAAAATAAGCTTATTATTTCCTATCATTTCAGGAGCCCCAAGTATTACAATCGGTTTAAATAAGCAGAGTAGTACTTGATGTAGGGAAGGGAGAGAAGAAATAAGCTCCATCCCGATTTCCCTGGGCTTGTTATGATACATATAGACTACTCAACAGTCAAAACCAGTACTCAAAGGAGAGGGAAAGATGGTCAGACAAGTTTTCTTTAACTGGTGACTGAGAAGGTCAAGGTTGTTGGGGCAAAGTTTATGATAGAAAAGCAAGGCAGCAAATACAAGACCTTGGGAGTCGACCAGGCAAATGAATCAGCATCTCACTAGAAGAATTACTATTAAGAATTAAGGGATTAAGATAACAGATGACTTCTAATACATTCGGATAGAACAAAGTAAATTAAAAATAAACTCTGTTACTGAGGAGGGCTAAAGAGGTTGGAAGACTTAATTCTTTAGTTCTCACTTACTCAAATCATAACTACATAAGGGCTAATATTTATTTAAATACATCTAAAATGCATCTTTTTAATACAGCTAAAATACTTATTACAACTAAATTTCCTCTAAATGTGTCTAATTAGAATATCCTGCTGCCTTTATTTCCTAGTACTGAAAGGCAGTCCTTACCTTCGCCCTGTCTTAGGCCTTGCTTTCCCCTTCGAAGTCCGTGGCCTCTCTAATTTCATCAAGGACTGCCGGAGGCTCTCCTCAGTGTAGGCAAGATACACGTGGGAAAGGTCCACTTCAAAGGGCTAAGTAAAGGGAACAAACACAAGACACTCTTATAGGAAGGATTTAAACCAGATGTTGAGGGAAGATGTAAAAAACTGAATAAACTCCTAGAAAAAACCTGCAGAACACAAAACCAAAGAAATGTCTAAGGATATCTTCTAATGCCATTTGTCTCAGATATATTCACCAAGGGATGGTAAATAAGAAGCCCCAACACACTATAAATTCCCTTACAGGAAAGGGGGACTGCTACTGTTTTCCCTGCAACTGCTGCTCTTGCTGACCCAAGTCTAGGTCTAGTTCGCAGAAGTACAGACCCATTCTGGTCTCCAACTATCCCCCCACAGCCTGGAGAGGGGGCAAAGAGTGCTCTGAAGAAGCCGCCATGCCCCTCGTGTCGTACAAAGCATAAGCCTGCCCTCATGACTGAGAACAGAAAGGTCCTCTATCACCCCTCCTGGGGCTTCTCTTCCCAAGAGATCCGCCTATTTTTCAGCAGAGCTGATTAATTTATATCATATTGATAACAGAATTTAGTAACCCAATTCCTAATAAAGGAACTGTAGTTACAAAAAAAAAAAAAAAAAAAAAGCACTCTTACATCTTTCTCTTTTTTATCAGGAGCTGGAGTCTGCTTCCTCATGTTATTTCCTGTGTAGGCAACACATTTCTCAAAAAAGGAAAAAACGGGGAGGGAGGAAAAATGTCTTAATTAGCAATTAGTACTATAAATAAGGCAAATTACTATGAGATATACTGATGTTATGCTCATAAAACATGCTCAAAATTTGAATGCTGAAAAAAAAAGGGATTTACAGATCATACAGTCCTATGAAGCCCCAAACTACACCATTTCCCCTGAAAAGTCTGTGTGCTGTGATATAGTTAATTAGGAAAACATCTTATCCACCCTAGTGGATTCTCATCTGATTCATTCTCTGGACCATCTTTCTCCCCTCACAGCCAGCACAGATCCAGTCTATAGGAAACACTCCATAAGTATTTCATGGAAGGATGCAGATAATACTCACTAGCTGCCATTCTCCTATGTCTTCATTCCAATGGACATAGTTTTCAATCATTTCCTTTTAAGAATCAAAGATGATCTACTTTTAATATTTAATAACATTTGAAATACTGGAAAATATTCACAAAACTAAAATCTTATTAAGTAAAAAAAAGATGCCTCAAAACATTATATACTGCATTATAACTTTTTTATATATTTAAAAATACAGACTTTGAAAGAATACATGTAAATGCAAGTAAACTATATTCTTCCATAAAAAGCAAGGAAAGAACATGAAAAACATGGGATTCAGGATGATGGTTACCTTGAGTTGCAAGAGGCAAAGGGATGGAAGAGGGAAGAGGAAAACCATTTGGTTAGAAGTAGGTTACTGTTGTGGTATTAGCTTTTGTTATTGATGACAAGTTCACTACAAAATAACCAAAACAAACAAACAAACAAACAAAACTAACCCCAACTAAATAAAGGCAGGTCATCCAAAGACCAATAAGAAGAATGTACCATGAACCAATAATTAATTCTGTGCACCTGAGGTCCAAAGGAAAAAAATATTAAGGCTTATTTTCAGAAAAAAATCTTGATATACTCACATTTTTTGAAAAATCAGTATGTTAAGGTTTACTAAAATGTACTAGAAAAATAGAAATTTTGAATAAAGAAGAAGAAAGGCTGAGATTTTAAAGTTATACTAGAATTAAGAATCAGCATCCACCTGGAGATGGATAGCAGGGATGATTGCAACATGCTGTGAATGTACTCAATGTCACTGAACTGTATTCTTTTTTTTTTTTCTTTCAAAATTTATTTATTTTGGAGAGAGAGAGGGAGAGAGAAAAAAGAAAGGAGGGAAGGGCAGAGGGAGAAAGAGAATATCAAGCAGACTCCCCTCTGAGCACAGAGCTGGACGCAGGGCTCAAACTCACGACTCTGAGATCATGCCTGAGCTGAAATCAAGAGTCGGACGCTTAACTGAGCCACCGAGGCACCCCTGAACTGAACTAATCTTAAAAATAGTTTAAAAAGGTAAATTTCATGTTATGTTTATTTTATCATATACACCACACTACGCCATACATACACACACACACACACAGTTGGTATCCATAAGCAGGAAGAAAAATTAGCAAAGGAGTTCTGTTTATTCTATTTATAGGATTAATTATATTGAATGTATAACTAGGACCTATACCTTGATTCTGAATGCAATTATATAAATCTAGGTTCCTCCAAAGGGCTGAGAAATTCTTAGATACTTACATACTCACAGAATTATGTATTAAGAAAAGTTAACAGCTGAAGTGAAATGTGATGGCATTAGTTCAAGAAAATTTTACTGTCAATAACTGAAATGCAGATATTTACCATCAATTAAATTATAATTTACATTCCTTATTTCTTCACCCCAGCCAGTGATATAATATCTAGAACAGAGAACTTCCCTCTTACCTGATAATCTTGAGGTATGAAGTTATCAATGATAAGCATCTGAAGCCGGAGCTCCCGGCTAAGCTGTCGAATATTCTCCAGCAGGCCTTCAATTTCCCTCTGGTGCTCCTGTTGGAGATCAGCCATCTACCAAAAAATCAATAAAAATATTAAGGGCAAACAAGATTTTAAATATAAAACAATTTCAACTGATAAAGGCACTGGCCTAAGAAATCCTATAAGAGCTTACTCAATTCCTTCAACAAACAATGGACAGAATGACACTATCCATCACTATTTCCATGTTATTAAGGTTGGAAATATACAATACAGCTTAATAGCTAAAATTTGAAATTGCACACAAAGGAGAAAATGTTATTTCTTTAAAATTGTAAGCATACATTAAGATCTCTTTAGGATTCTTAATCATACTTACTCAAAGAATTTTTTTTTTTTTTAATTCAGAGCTACCTTTGGAGGTAATTTCTAGGAGACCAACCTCTGATTTGGCAGCCATCAGCATAGTCCAAACTTTCTTTAATTTCTTGGTTTTTCCCTGTGCTTCCTCTTGCAAGCTGGTATATTTTTCTTCAATATCCAAGCGTTCTTGCTACAACAAAAATTGATAAACTTTAGAATAATTTTCTTCATTAAATCAAAAATTTAATTTTTTAACAAATGATAAAAATGTTTAGCAACTATTATCTTTCAAAGCAATTCACAGATCTGCTTTAAAATTTCATTAAGATTATAGATATAAGATAAACACCATATGATTTCACTTATACGTGCAATCTAAAAGATGAAACAAATCAACAAGCAGACAAACAAAAAGCAGAAACAGACCCATCACTACAGAAAACAAATTGATGGTTGGGCTTGGGGGGAGACAGAAAAATGGGTGAAGTGGAGTGGAGGTACAGGCCTTTGGTTACGGAATAAGTCATGGGGATGAAAGGTACAGCATAGGGAATATAGTCAATCGTACTGTAATAGGATTATACGGTGACAGATGACAGCTACACTTGTGGTGAGCACAGAACAACATATAGAGAAGTTTAATCACTCTATGTTGTACATCTGAAACTAGTGTAACACTGTGTGTCCACTACACTTAATTAATTAAAGATGACAGATATAAAGCTTTTCACTAGAGGACTTAAATACTTAAGGCAAAGTGTCAACCAAAACCAGAAAGTCACATTATTACCTCTTTTTCCTCAAGTTCTCTGCGAAGTTGCTCTGCTCTTTTCCTCCGTTCTTCCAGTTCCATATTAGATTCTTCAAGAAGTTTCTCTTGTTCCTCAGCTTTTGCCAACAAATCAACACCACCCACAATTACCTTCTTCTCCAGTGCAGATAATTTCTCTAGCAAAGACTGATGTTCTTGTCTGTTGATTAAAAATGAGAATATCCATCAATTATCTACTATTCTACCAATATCATTTCCCAAAACTTTACAGGTATCTGGAGGCAAAATTTTAAAATTGGGATATAATTATGTAACACCTCTATCAAATTATATCACAGGGTAGTATAAATTAACTTATGATTTAATCTATAACATCCAAGTTCACTGATAATTTTTCCTCCTACACAGAGATGAAATAATAAAAACAGATGTAATTTTTGGATATAGAACACATACAACAAAACCCTCTATCAAAAAAGCTATTCGAGAGACAAAAATCAAGCCTTTAACTACTATTCAATTTTCTTTCTTATATATCCTATGAAAAATACCAGAAATTTAAATCACGAATCCATCTCAATTAAGTAATACTCACTGGGCCTTAAGAAGATCTTTCTCCCGTTTCTCTAATTCAGCTCTAGCCTTGTTTCTTTCTTCTTCTTCCATATCAAGCTTTGTTTCAAGCGCTTTTCTCTCCTCATCAATTTTTGCTTGCATTTCAACCATCTTATCTGGGGATACTTTCTTTTTGCCTATATGAGTCATTTAATTCCAACAATCACTTTGGAGCCAATTTTTCAGATTTGTGTAAATTATCTTCAATTATAAAAGATACATTCCTCAATAATACAAAACACAACATTTTAAGGAAATCAAATATTTTATTTCTATTTATTATGTTCCTAGAATAACTTTTTAACTAATTGCTAAACAAAATGTTGTGTAATTGTGCGATGATAACTAAGAACAAAAGTATGTGAAAGAGAAGCAAAACAGGTAAGTAGGAAAAAAAAAAAGAGAAAGGTTAATAAAGGAAAGCCAAATAAATTTAAAAAACCAAAGGATCTATGGGTCCCCAAATAAGATATCTGTTCAAAAAAGCAGTATAATTATTTAGTTACTTTTTTCTGATAACTAGGTACAAAATCAAGTGGCCTCCCAAAATACCTCCCCAAAACTTACTAAAACAAATGAATAAACAGAAGTCACATATAGACATAAATTGCACAGATAAAAGTGTCAGGCAAAACAGCAAGTTTCTAATACGTATCTTCAGAGTTTTTCTAAAATTTATGTCTAATAAAATTATTTGGAAGTATTTCATCTCATACCTAGTATACCTTAAAGGATGAAGTTTTATCCTAATCATATAATGATTATATTATAATTAACCAGGCATTTTACATAAAGTTGCTGAGCTACCATGATCTAGCATCATATCTTAAATGAGCAACTAAAATAGCTCGTTACTATGTCAAACTCAGGATCCTAAACCTAAGCCATTTTAAATATGCCAAGTATCAAACATAAGTAGAAATACTACCAAATAATAAAGCTGGAAGTACAGCTTCCAATTGATTATTTTGACTACAGTGCCCAGTAGAGTGTTTCATACACACACGACAGATGTTCAATAAAAGCTTATTGAATGAATTTGAAAATCATAAAATTAAAATGAGAAATCAAAAAGAGAAAATAAAAAACTACGTTATTAAACTGGTTATGAAACTGAACCAAAGAGAATTCATTTCTGGAAATACCATTTCTTTGAAACACACCTTCCTTTAGAAAAACAATCAAACTTTTCGTAGAACTGGTGTGAGGCTCTCCTGAAAGCTCTCTGTCATTCTTAACTTCCTTCCCAAAGGACCACAGAAGGATGTAAACCAGAGGAGTTTATAAACTGTTAATGCCTCCACCCAAAAGCTAGCCCCTCCTGCTAACAAGGAAAGAGAACTGAAAAATAATGATGATGCAGATATATATCTGAATATATACTTTCAGGAACTAGGAGATGAAGAATTATTCATAGACTTCAAATCTTTAGGATACAATTATATTTAAAAAAAAAAACCCAAAATACCCAAGGGTTTAAAATACGTTACCCTTCCCTTCTATAGAAATAAAAGTCCAAAGTGAACTTCAGCCACAAAACAAGTCAGTTACATAAAAGAGTAAATAAGAGCACTGATCCAAATTCATGCTTTGGTGTGGTGTGATTCATTGCATTCCAAAAGTCAGGATGTAGACCTGAATATGTTGGCTTCCTTGGCACAGTCACCCATATTGAATGTTCTGATTTATGCTGTTAAAAAAATAATTTTAAAAAGTAATCTAATTCCTGTTCAGAGTGAACTCCTAGAAAGGATTTCTACTCAGTAGTACTATTTCTGAGAAATTTGAGGGGGGAAATTGTAGATTCAAGTATAAAGTTAAGTGCATGCAGAGGGTGCCTGGCTGCTGTAGCTGGTAGAGCATCCAACTCTTGATCTTGGGGTTGTGAGTTTGAACCCCACGTTGGGTATAGGGACTATGTAAAAATAAAATCTTTAAAAATAAATAAAGTGCATGCATTAAAAAATTATAACTTACTTTCTACCTCAGAATTACAAATATCTAAAGAAAAAACAGCAAGTATGTTAAGATAAAAAAACCTCTGAAGACATGGATACTAACAGTATAGTGGAAATGATCTGATAAACATATGCACATTAATTTTTAAGCATGTAGGGTTCTAACTGTTTGGTTAACTGTAAGTTAAAAACTTACAGTTTCCAACCCCATTAAGAGGCAGTAAATTAAAAAGATATTACATGTAGAAATACAAAAGCACAACCTGTTGATGAATTACTACTAGGCCTGAATTGCATTAGTTACTAAAAACCATTCAGGTAGTATTTTCCAACTTATGCTTTAGCAGCAAAAATCTTACTGTGCTCTTACAACATTCTCATAGAGATGTCCATGCATTTATAGCTAGGTTCAGTTTCAAAAGTTTGATATTTAAGTAACATAATTTTTAGCCAATATTATTCAGATAAATCACTGTATTTCTCTCCAAATAATATATTAGGCTAAGTGTGAATATATTCCAACTTTCCTAACCAGGCACTTAAAATCATGACATCACTAAAAATCACTTTTAGATTGTTTTTTTTTAAGATTTTCTAAAAATCTTAATCAAAACAACCAAAAATCCTTCTTCTAATACTGCATGATACAATTCAACACAAAATTTCAGGTAAACAAATCTTTAAAAAAAATGGTGATGTCATACAGTATTTAATTAAGCCAAACAGGAGTAGTAATACTTTTAGTTGCTCTTTGCCACGTGTTCCAACCAAAACTGCCAAAATGAACTTCGGCAAGATAAAGTGAAAGGGAAGAATTTTGGGAAGACTTAACTGAATTAATTTTATTTTCATTACATGAGCACCTATGGACATAAGTAACCAGGCATTTGACTCCTTGCTTTAAAAAAAAAAAAAAAAAAAAAGCTTGAAAGTGAAAATCATTTAAATTTGTATTACCAAAATTTGCTTTAACGGGTCTTTAAAAACTTAGGAAAAAAGATCATGTCATCTGGTTCTGGTGTTATATTTGTCTATTTTGTCAATTAGGTCTAGAGAATCCAGTATTGTTGTCACTGTCAATCTAATACTTCTGAATTGTTCTTCTAAAAACATAGTTTGGAAACAAGAATGTTCCTAATACCTTCCTGAACAAAAACTGAAATGAATTTTTTTTTTTAATTTAAGAGAAAAAGTTAAAAAAAAAAAAAAAGAGCTAATGTTGAAAGATTTTTTGAAATACAAAAGACAGATACTTACCTTGAAAAAAACTATTAAATTTAAAAAATGTAATGTAGTTAAATAACAAAGTTCTTTATAGTTTAAATAATTGTACCATGTGGGGTGCAAATCAATCACACCAACCTGCTTGATCTTTCAGTAAGAGTAGTAAGCAAATCGTAGACAGGAAGCATATGCACAGAGATGAAGAGGAAAAAAAGAAAATCATTATTTCCTTTGTAAAACAAAGAAAAATGTTTAACAGCATTTATTTATAGTATAAATATAGAAATAAATCATCAAAACTGAAAAAGAGCAGCTTTATGTAAAAAGAAAAACATATTCAACACAGAGATGTAATTAAAGCAAATAACATTAATTTAGACTAAGATTACAATTCAAATCAATCTCAAGAGCTTACAATGACTCCCAGACTTCTGCAAATATAACAGTTCAGCCCCAAGTGGTTATACTAACGGTACACATGGAATTGGGAAACTGCTAAGATCTGGGAAGTAACGTAAAAGGACAAAACAGAAAATTATGTCAATTTGAAAAATCAGTAAGTTAAAAGTAGCAAAATTTGCACTGTCAATTTCCAAAATTTCCCAATTCAATGTTCTAATATAAAGATCCCATACAGGTGTGCCTCCCCTTTAAGAAAATCCAACACAAAAACCTCAATCAACTAAAGAGATAAATTGGATTATAGTAATCTGCAGTGATAATTTGATTAACAAAAGGATTTAATAAAGAAATGTTAAGGACAGCAAGTTCTCCCAACAGATTTGATTTTCTAATGTGATTTATAAGCAATTTTTTCAGAAAAAAAAATTAATTGCATAAAGTGAAGTACACCTGTATACTAACGAAGTTGCATTCAATCCATTAGTAGATGGTTAAGGGTAATTATAATCCCATTGAGGTAAATGATCAACTGATGATTCAAGCAAAGAACACCTTAAAAAAAAGCCATTCGTATTTTTAAAAGGGAAGGTACGTACAAGTTACACACAGCAACCACATGCTAAGGAAAACCATTTTTCCACTTCACCAATATGCCCACATCACAACAGAAGAACTTAATGTTATGTGCTAGGTACACAAACAGTAACCAAAACTCCATGAATTGAACCAAGTACAACTCATTTCATAACATACTTTCATATAACTACTCTTTAAAGATTAAGGTAAATTTTAAAACCGAAACTTAAATTATAATGCTACTCAGGTATTTTCTCATATCTGACCATAATAATACCTCTATATGGTTTCTAAAGCAATTTCTTGTATTTCATAAATTGTCCTATAAAATTAATTGTTTTGGTAAAATGTACGAATTGTCAAGACAGAAAATGATTCCTAATATTCTTGGAATTCTTCCTCTAGAAAGCTAAATGCGTAAGAATAACCAAATGTGTTTGTTACTAGTTTTAGAAAAGTTAAGTACACAGATAATGCTTTAAAAGGCAGTAAGCTGCAATCTAGTAGAAAAAAAAATCAATTCCCTTTTCTTCTAAAAATATAAATAAAATTAGTAATACTTTTCAACTGATTTAAGGTTTAAGAAAAAGCCTTTATGACTGAAATACGTCTAGACAGATCCTGCATTAACTTCTTGTGGATCTGAAGTCTCTAATCATAGCTTAGAAAGTTTCTTAAAATCAAGCAGGTAGTTGAGAAACAGAGGAAAGTGGCCATTTGAAATAAAAGACTATCCAATGTATCTTTACGTGCTTCAAACTTTGGGAGCTTTCAATCTTAAGCTACCCCTAAGAGTAGGACACCAAAGCATAAAATCTTTATAACTTAAGACATGTTATAATGGGCATTGGTGTGTTGCCAAATGTAATCGGTACTTTTAGAAATTCAGGCTTCATGACTGCACGTCCCTTATACTGACTAGGATTGGAAGTTTATCCTGACACATAAAAAGGAACCATAAGAATTATTCTTTCAGACAGCTTACTAGCTCTCTTTACATGATCTCAATCGCAAAAGCACGAATCTCTCTTCCATTGTCTCAAACAGAAGCGTTAAGCACACGTTTTAGCAGTTACAGTTAACTGGAAGCAATGAGGAAGGGGGAAATCATCACATGCTTTGTTCTGCTAAGAAGTCCAACATGTACTCTTTAAGTAATGACGGGGAGCAGCGCAGCATTTCTGAAATGAAGCCCACGGGTGATGGGAAAGCCAAAGCTCCGTGAGAGAATGTAAGAGCTAGCACTCACTGGGCAAGGACTTATCCAGAGGCTTCTCTATGACAGAGCATGTAGAGTCTGAGCTACTGCCGCTGCTGCTGCCTGGAAGACAAGGAAGTGAGCCCGACGGGAGCCAGAGGAAGAGGAGACAAGAAAATGAACACATACACACGGGAAAATTCAGTTCCACAGAGAGAATTTTAAAGAAAAATCACGCTTTGCATTAAAGAACATTTCAAAATGTACTTTCCCTTAATACCAGTCTTTGTAGACTACCCAATGTTCTCTTGTTACAAAGCCAAACGGGGCACTTAGAAACTGCGTTCCTGGGGCGCCTGGGTGGCTCAGTCGGTTAAGCGACTGCCTTCGGCTCAGGTCGTGATCCTGGGGTCCTGGGATCGAGCCCCGCATTGGTCTCCCTGCTCAGCGGGAAGCCTGCTTCTCCCTCTCCCACTCCCCCTGCTTGTGTTCCCTCTCTCGCTGTGTCTCTGTCAAATGAATAAATAAAATCTTTAAAGAAAAGAAACTGGGTTCCTTTAAGCGTCTACGGTGGGCAAACCCCACTGCCCACTTACAACGCAGTAACTCAAGAGGCTTGGAATGACAGGAATAAAAAACAAGGCATTTGGTGACGTTTAAGTCTATTTCAACTATTTACCTGGTAAGCTACAGGAAGTGAGTTTTAAATTTAAAGTTATGCACAATTAAAACTATAGGAATGATGAGTTACCCTTCATCACAGATAGCTTGGCTTGTCTCCAATTTTACTCTCCACCAAAACATCAAGCAACTGGATATAATTACGTATGTTTCAGGTTTCATGGCAAAACTGTGAAAGGCTCACTAAAAATTTTAAAATTTCTAAGCCTGGAAGGAAGGTAACCTACTAATAAATATTTTAACGTATTAAGCAATAGCTTTTTTTTCTATTTTAAATTTTATTTGTAACAAATCTATGAGCTGCTCTAGCTATGAACAGTCTATGAAAAAATAGTATGAACAGAAAACCATTTATCTAAATAAGGGGTCAGCAAGCATTTTCTGTTAAGGGACAGACAGTAAGTGCTTTAGGCTTTGTGGGCCATACAGCCTCATCGGAAAGCAGCTGTACACCATCTACAAACAAATGAGCATGGATGTTTAATAACATTTTCTTTATAACAACAGGTGGTGGGCCAGCAGACTGTAGTTCTACTCTAAATCATGCTCTTCCTCTAAATCATGCTCTTCCTGTCTTTTGAAGTTACAGAACCTTTGGTTTTAAAATTTGGGACTCCTGGGTTTATTTTCAGCAAGATCATTTTAATAAGACAAGCAAAATATGCACCAGCTTGAAAACAATGATCCACACATTAATGATCCACGTTAATGGAAGAGAGTTCTGAAACAAATAAACATTAAGAGCAAAAACGTTTGAAAAGTGGGCCATTATAATATGTCTCTCTCTTTTGCCTGTTATCTATATCTTTATCACAATAAATACAAACTTACTTCACACTTGGCAACAAACGCCCCATAAAAGGGTAAGAATGAAAGTACATTTTATAAGGCAAAGTATTAAATTAAAAAAATAGAACCCTCATACAAATTCATCATTTAAAAATTCACTGACTTCTAAAGCCGAACCATGCTTGAGAAAAACGCCACATTATCCTGACTTCCTAAAAAAAATTTTAGGTTCCCAACACAAATCCAAGTCCTCACATAAAATTAAGACCCTGAATGAAATCTTTACATGGTATAACCACTGTCACAGATTTTTACAATTCTAAACTGTAAAAGAACATATGGCATTATGATTCAACTGTAAGTAGGAGATCAGCACAGGAGACAAAAATAAGGCAAAGTTAATCATGTATATGGCATATTTCCTCTGTGTGAATTGCTACCATAACTAAAAATGGCAAAAGAAAAGGCACGCACTCAGATGAATGTTAAACCATATTTAGGTAGCAATCCCAGTTAATTTCTAGAACACTAAGAAGAACTTACCCCTTCTTTTTTTCCTTTTCTCTCCATCTTCTCCAACCTCGCCCTCTTCATCATCCTCCTCCTCCGATCCACTGATATCGGAGCCTGATATCTCTTCCCCTTGAACAAAATTTTACAAAACAATTTATATTCTATGCCAGGTTATGGCCTGCCATTAAGTTTGTTGCCCTAAACAAAACGTATTTTAATATTCCTAAACAGTATATCACATGCTAACCTCAGGAAAAGATATAATGTACACAGAGGCTTTATTTTAAAGTTCCTAAAGAGAAGTTAAATTCTGATCTACTTAAAGGGCGCCTGGGTGGCTCAGTCGGTTAAGCATCTGCCTTCAGCTCAGGTCATGATCCCAAGGTCCTGGGATGGAGCCCCACATCCAGCTGAGGAGAAAATGCAGAGCCTTGCTGCACCTACCTGCTCATACTGCCCTCCTGCTTGTGCTCCCCACTTCTTGTGCTCCCTCTCTTGCTCTCTCAAATAAGTAAAATCTTTCAAAAACAAATTCTGATCTACTTACAATTTCAAATCATTAGTTTAAATAAAGTTCTATGTATATATAAAAATTTCAAGTTAAAGTCATTATTTCAATTTTTTAAAAAAGTAATCACTTTGGGGGAGCATTTTCTCCTCAGTTTTCTGTATAAAATTTTATTTTTTAAATATTTTTTAAGTAATCTCTACACCCAACATGAGGCTCAAACTCACAACCCTGAGATCAAGAGTCACATGCTCCATCAACTAGGCCAGCCAGGCACCCCTTTGTTGAAGATTTTTAAAAATTCATTCAACCTGCGTATTTTTAAAAAACCATAAAACTCATCTAACACAGTGATCCCACTTTCAGGACTATATCAAAAGAAAAGAAGAAGGGCTTATTTGTACAAAGAGTATAATAACTTAAAAACAGGGACGCCTGGGTGGCTCAGTCGGTTGAACGTCTGCCTTCGGCTCAGGTCATGATCCCAGGGTCCTGGGATCGAGCCCCGCATCGGGCTCCCTGCTCAGCGGGGAGCTTGCTTCTCCCTCTGCCTGCCGCTCCCCCTGCTTGTGCTCTCACACTTTCTCTCTCTCTGGCAAATAAATAAAATCTTTAAAAAATAAATAAATAACTTAAAAACAAAAATCAAAGGGTATAATTAAACTAATAATGCAAATCAGTACTATATTACCTTCAAAATAGTTATTTAAAAATAACACTGTCCGTGTATGAAATGTGTAAAAAAACAGGTATTTGGGGAGAAAAATAAATATACAATAATCACAAATGATAATATCTAAACCAGTAAATAATGGATAGGAAGAGATAAGCATATTGGAAGAATTCATTAAAAATATTTTCTTTAGGCCTAGTAACAATGACACGCTGGTAGTAATGAATGCACATAATGCCCAAGTCTTAGTTTCTAAGTACCATTCTCCACTAAAAAGGAGCTAGGGAGAAATAGATGGTTTTATGCCAGGGTAGGGAACGTATAAAATGAGCCTAAGGGACGCCTGGGTGGCTCAGTCGGTTGAGCGTCTGCCTTCGGCTCAGGTTATGATCCCAAGGTCCTGGGATCAAGTTCCACATCTGGCTTCTTGCTCAGCAGGGAGCCTGCTTCTCCCTCTGCCTGCTGGTCCCCCTGCTTGTACACTTTCTCTCTCTGACAAATAAAATCTTTAAAAAAAAAAAAAAGAAGAAGAAGAAGAAGAAAAGAAACATCTGTGGTGCTGGAAATAAAGAAGCACTCAAAACCAAAAATCAAAAAACTGATGGAAGTATGCTGAAAGGATATAGCAACTACCCCTGAATTCAGGAGCTCCTATGGCAAAAGCTCAAACAATCTGAGCAATAAAACAAATAATGATATTATTGTATTATATAATGCACAGACTAAAATAAATATCCACGAGTCAATACTGACATAAATAAATAATTGAATAAACAAATGGGGGAGGAGGGACTACTCCCCCTTACAACAGAATTCCAAACATTAAACATTAGAAGGATGCTGAGAAGACAAAGTCACCAAGGAGCAAATGCCACAGAATTATTGTTGCTGGCAAGAACCCCTGACGGATGCTCAAATTAGTGGGAAAAAATATAAGAAACAGGACCTTTTAGTAGTTTCAAAGTATCTCACCACAAGACACACCTTAAGTTCAAAGGAAAATATAAGATTATAGAATTTAGAGTGAAGAAACCTTGCAGAATACTTATGAGAGAACTACAGACGACCCAAATTGAGGAACATTCTACAAATATGTAACTTTTACAGTGTCAAGACCATGAAAGACAGAGAAAGGTGAGGAACTGGAGACTAGAGGAGACAACTAAATACAGTATGTGATGCTAGACTGCATCCTGGACTAGGGAAAAGGGCACTGGAGGGCAAACTCAACATCTGAATAAGATCGACAGATGAGTTAATAAGTCTGTATCAACATAAAACTCCTGATTCCAATAACTGTAAGATGTTCAATGTAAGATGTTCCAGTCATATAAGATGTTAACATAAGGGGAAGCTGGGTGATCAGTATATAGGAACTCACTATACTTCCAAGTTTTCTAGAAGTCTATAAAAATTTTCAAAAATTACTCTTTTAATGTTTTTGCCTGATTTTTATTATTTATATGATCAACTGTATTTACCATATCATAACACTCAACTGTAACTGGATTATAAAAACAAATGTCATAAGCATCAGTGAAATGAAATGTCTTAAAAATAAAGTCAGCATTACCCCATGATGGATCAATTCCACTTCTGGGTATATAACTCAAAGGAACTGAAAGCAAGAACTCAACACAGATCTGTACACCCACATTCATAGCCAGATTATTTACAGTAGGCAAAAGGCAGAAGCAACCCATGTGTCCACCAAAAGATGAATGGATAAACAAAATGTGGTATATACAAACAATGGGATATTATTCAGCCTTAAAAAGGAAGGAAATTCTGACGCATGCTATGATACAGATGAACCTTGAAGACATTATGCTAAGTAAATAAGCCAGACACAAAAGCACATGTACTATATGATTCTACTCATATGAGTTATCTAGAATAATCAAATTCAGAGACAGAATAGTGGTTACCAGGGGCTGCGGCAAAGAGGGGGATAGAGAGTTAATGTTTAATGGGTATAGAGCTTCATTTGAGGATGATTAAAAAGTTTTAGGGATGGATGACGGTAATGGTTACAGAACAATGTTAACATACTCAATGCCACAGAATAAAAATAGATAAAGTAGTAAATTTTACGGTACGTTTATTTTGCCACAATGAAAAAATGTAAAAAAATAAAGGCAGCAAAATAAAGGTGTGAACTGAACGTTAACAAATCTAAGAAATTTTAAATCTTTAAAACATATTGACTATAAATACCACCTAGTGGTCATATTTAAAATACCAAATTTCATTATCTAAGAGGCAGCTCAATTACTGCTTTTCCTCAAAAATCTTACTCAAGTTTATTGAATCAGTACCCTTTCCAAACATCTGTGATGGTGGCATCTCTGCAACTCACATCTGTTCTATCCAGTTTCCCCACAAACTGTAAAAAAAAAAAAAAAACCATTCTGAAGCCTTTTGTTTACCTGGTTATGAAAAGGAGCCCTATGCCAATCGGTTCTTAGCATGAAAGTGTAGAGTCACTGAGCACTTAAAGACAGTCTGTAAAGTTCTCATCCTCATGAACAAGGTCTTCAGACTTTCTAACCTTCTAACATCTTGTTAGAAAAGGATTCCCCGGGGCGCCTGGGTGGCTCAGTCGTTAAGCGTCTGCCTTCGGCTCAAGTCATGATCCCGGGGTCCTGGGATCGAGCCCCGCATCAGGCACCCTGCTCAGTGGGAAGCCTGCTTCTCCCTCTCCCACTCCCCCTGCTTGTGTTCCCTCTCTCGCTGTCTCTCTGTCAAATAAATAAATAAAATCTTTAAAAAAAAAAAAAAAGGATTCCCCAAACAGAATCTCATGTTCAAATTTAAGCATGAAAGCATATTTTCAAAGTCACACAATGAATTTTTACTTATAGTAAATTCTGTTTACCCATGACTCTGATAGATTTCTTTCCTTTGAATATTAGTGACTGAAATCTTTCTCAAAGAACTCTGGGTCATTCTCACCTAAATACATATATGGTAAAACTTGCTGTTATACAAAGACAAAAAAAATTCATTATTTAGTAAGTGGTCAAATGAAATCTATAAAAGGAAATGGGGGCTGAGATGATTGAGATGGAGGTTTAAATTAAATGAATTTTTTTAAAATTACATACACAAATATTACATAATTATACTTAAACTTAATATGAAAATGCTAAAGTGTGTATGTATCAAGTTACCTTGCAGAAATATCGCTTTCAGTATCAAAGTTAGATGCTCAAAGAATTTTAATAAGTTGTTTTTATTAGAACACTTCGTGGTTAAGCAACATATTTTTAGCCAATATTCACATTAATATTTTGAGGAAAAGTTACCTTCTTCAAGCTTTTTTTTCAGTTCCTCTATTTCTTTCTGAAACTGGCGAAGCAAAGCATCCTTTGGGTCTTCATTAATTCTAGCTTTATTTTTAATATTCTTAGCACGGTTAGCATACCGTAATGTACTGATAGTTTCATCATAATTGTAATCTGCTGGCCCAATATTTGCACACTGTTGAATTAGGAATACAAAACATTTTACACTTGATGCAGTTAAAATTAATACTACCATTATGAATACATCAAAAAGAATTTTTGAAATATAGTTGTTCTCCTCTAGCTTTCTTGAACAAGAAAGCATTAACCACATGGATTTCCAAACACCATTATATGGATTAGCATACACAGCGTACTTGAAAAAGAAAAACCACAAATCACAAGTGAAATAATCAATAGTTTTAAAAATGTTATGCATAGCAATTACTGGCATAAACAGGAATCTGAAATTTTCCTGATGATAACTATTCTACAATTAAGTCTTACCATCATGGTTTTTGAATTTCCTCCTAAGGAATCCTGAAGAAGACGAGTCAATTTAGAGTTGCGATAAGGAACATGAGTGCTTTTTCCGTCAACCAAGGCAGAAATTACATTACCAAGGGTGGAAAGCGAAAGATTGATTTTTGTGGCTTCCTTTAGACGCTGTCCAGTAGCTCCAGTTTTTGCTTGTCTTTCTGAACCCTAGCAATAAACAGAGACAGAAATAAAGCTAAAATTAAAAATACAGAATATTCCTCTGAAAGTTTAAAACAAAATTTGACACTAAAAAATCTGCTATGGTATCTGGAATTTGCTTCAAAATAATACAGGCAGGGAAAAAGTGGCTGATGGTAGAAATGAAACAGAACTGGCCATGAATGGATTGAAGTTGGGTCACGGGTACATGGGAGACCATACTATTCTTAGTACTTTTGTAGACATTAGAAGTTAGGAATATTCCATAATAAATAATAAGTTAAAAACACATACACAAGTAAACAACTTAAAAACTGTATGTAAATCACACATTTTCACTTGAATTTTTATTCACTTATAAAATGCAAAAAAATCACAAGAGTTATTCCTTGAGTAGCGTCTTGTTACTTACAGCAAGATCTACAAGATGGAGCTTCCCCATTCTGACATGCATGTTACCATCAACGCCTTTTTCACTGCATTCTATAGTAATTGTAAAGATGGCATGGGAACGGGAACTATGTTCATTCATATTAGTTGCACCAACAGAACCTTGAAGAAAGGAAGGAAATTCTTAAAAAGTATAACAAGAGGGAGTATTTTTAAAAATAATTAAATATCCAGAATGGTTTAAAATACTTAATTTCATCATAGCGAAGAGCCAGAGAGCATGGCTAAACCAGAAAAGCATAGGTTTATTTAACATTAGAAATTTCTCTGACAATTCATGTTGATAACAAAAGAATGTGTAACGTTTCTCATACTACAAAGGTAATTTTAGGATAAAATACTTAATTTCAATCCCAAGTATTACTGACTAAAAAAATAACTAACTTAGGTTAAAAAAAAAGTTAAATAATTTAAAAAATTATTGCTGTTTCAGCTGTCTCTAAAAAGTATTACGTTCCGAGAATCTAAATCACAGAAATACTTGCATATATGCATGAGATGATACAGGATATTCAGTACAGCACTGTTTGCAATATCAAGAGATCAGAAACAACCAAAAGGACAGTGGTCAATCTATTATAGAACAGTCATGGGGCACCTGGGTGGCTTAGTCAGTTAAGCGTCTGACTCTTGATTTTGGCTCAGGTCGTGAGATCGAACCCTCCCTCTTCCTCTCCCACTCCCACCCCCACTTGCATGCTCTCTCTCTAAATAAATAAATAAATAAAATCTTAAGAAAAATAGTCATACTATGGACTACTAAACCGTCCTTTAAAAACACAAAACAGATCTGTATGTATGACGTGGAAAGATACCCATAACATATGAAAAAAAAAAAAGAGAGAGAGAGAGAAAGGAATATATAGTACGACTCTATTCCTATTAAACAAAAGCACCCACTCAAAATATACCAAGTATTTATGTAAGTATAAATATTTTACATAAATATATTATGTAAATAAAGAAAAAGGTCTGTTTTGTTTTTTATAATAGGCATGTATTAGTTTTTTTTAATTGCCAAGTATTTGAAAAGCATTTTGTTAATTTTAGCCAATGTCAAAATTATCTTCTTACTATATATTCATGCAGAACTTCTCCATGCAAGCTCTGATTTTATAATTTGAAGACTAAAAGGGTATTCTTTATTAGCATATGGTTATATTAGAAGTCAGATAATTAGAATGTAAACTGCAGTCATAAAGGAAAGCCCAATGGAAGAAGATAAAACAAAAATTAGTGAAAGAAAATACAAGGATTTGTGACTCCACACAAATTTTCTTTTAAATCATATTACAAACTTACGTATTTTTTCCAAAAATACTTAAAAAATAAATCCAGGGGTGCCTGCCTGGCTCAATCAGTAGAGCATGTGACTCCTGATCTCAGGGTTTTAAGTTTGAGCCCACATTGGGTGCAGAGATTACTTAAAAATAAAATCTTTAAAAAAACAAAATAAAATCTAACACCATTTCATAACATCTGATCAGTAGTGATACACATACTGAGTATTATTTTATCTTCTGGCTTTTCCACTTAAGATTATCTCCTATATTTCCATGTCCTGGGATCGAGTCCCACATCGGGCTCCCTGCTCTGCGGGGAATCTGCTTCTCCCTCTGCCTGCTGCCCCCCTGCTTGTGCGCTCTCTGACAAATAAATAAATAATCTTAAAAAAATAATAAATAAATAAAAATACATGCTTAGGCATACAAAGACAGTATCAGGAAGGGGACATGACAAAGTAATGGAGTTCCAACAGGCGTGGGAACTAGGTGACTGAGACCCAAGGGTAGGAGAAAGACTTGTTTTTCTTCTTCTTTTTTAAAGATTTATTTATTTGACAGAGAGAGACACAGTGAGAGGGAACACAAGCAGGGGGAGTGTGAGAGGGAGAAGCAGGCTTCCCACCGAGCAGGGAGCGCGATGCGGAACTCGATCCCAGGACCCTAGGATCATGACCTGAGCTGAAGGCAGACGCTTAACGACTGAGCCACCCAGGCACCCAAGACTTGTTTTTCTTTTTTTCTTTTTTTAAAGATTTTTATTTTTATTTATTTGAGAGAGAGAGATTGAGACAGAGCACATGAGAGGGGGGAGGGTCAGAGGGAGAAGCAGACTCCCCGCCGAGCAGGGAGCCCGATGCGGGACTCGATCCCGGGACTCCAGGATCATGACCTGAGCCAAAGGCAGTCGCTTAACCAACTGAGCCACCCAGGCGCCCCCAAGACTTGTTTTTCAATGTATACTTTGGTGCCTTTTGAATTTTACAGCATGTGTATGGATTACCTATTCAAAAAGAAAATTTTTTAAAGAAAATGATAATGGTTTAATGGCTGAAAAACCCTACTCTACAGAAATATTAGCCAATTTACAATGGTGCCCACAATGCGAATATAAGTGACTATTTTAAATTTGCATTTTAATTGCTAAGCAGGTCACCTATTTGTTCATGGAATGAAAGGCTTATTTTCTTAAGTGCGATATTAACTATTTCTATACTATGACCACCTGGACAAAACAGGAACTAATTTTATATTTGTACCAATTTTTCATCTATTTAAAATAGCGGCTTTTACTGTCACATTTCCTCCCTCTGCTATTTTCCCCTGAATAGTTATTTTACTCTATTTCAATATGATAAAATTAGTATTTTTATGTTAGAAATTTTCTACTCGGGTATCTGTAGTATCTTGGATATTTTCTACTTGAATATTTGTAATATTGTAAATGTCTAATTCTTAGACTCAATCTATTAAATAAGAGTATTTTCCTCTGCTCTCTTAGGTCTTCAAATGCCTTTGTCTTCATTTCATTTCATTTTATTTCATTAGAATTGTTTAGTTTTCGGGGCGCCTGGGTGGCTCAGTTGGTTAAGCAACTGCCTTCGGCTCAGGTCATGATCCTGGAGTCCCGGGATCGAGTCCCGCATCGGGCTCCCTGCTCAGCAGGGAGTCTGCTTCTCCCTCTCCCGCTCCCCCCTCTTGTGCTCTGTCTCTAAAATAAATAAATAAAATCTTTAAAAAAAAAAAAAGAATTGTTTAGTTTTCCTTGAATGAATCTCACATACCAAATTAAACTTTCAGTTGTTAATGGAAGGTTTTTTGTGGGGTTTTTTGTTGTTGTTGTTGTTGTTTTTAAAGATTTTATTTATTTGACAGAGAGAGAGACAGCGAGAGAGGGAACACAAGTAGGGGGAGAGGGAGAGGGAGAAGCAGGCTTCCCGCCAAGCAGGGAGCCCGATGCAATGCGGGGCTCAATCCCAGGACTCTGGGATCATGACCTGAGCCGAAGGCAGACGCATAAGGACTGAGCTACCCAGGTGCCCCCGTTTTGTTCTGTTTTTAAGGGGTGGTTTTGATCATTACTGTGAACAGAATCATAAGTCAAAATTTTTTTTACTGAATAAGCAATACATGCATATACTCCTGGTATAAAAAAAATTCAGAAATACAGACATACAAAAACATAAAGTAAAAGCTCCATATATCCCTGTTCTCCAATCTTACCTCCCCTTACCTAAAGGTAACCACTATTAAATGTCCTTTCACTAGTGTTTAACAAACACACAAGTTGATAAACACATACACACACACTGCCCAAATACATAGCTGTTCAACAATTTGGCTTTTTTCCACATCTATAAATGCGATGATGCAGTACATACTATTCTGTAATTTGCTTTCTTTTCACTTAACGATGTATCTTGAAAATCTTTCAAGTCTCTACATGTAGATTTAACTCCTTTTTTTTATAGCTTCATTACAGTCCATAGTATTTCTGTGCCATAATTTATATAACCAATGTTTTACTGATAGTTAGACTGCATCGAACTTTTTGCTATTATAAATAATGTTTCAATAAGGCATTATGTCTAAAGATACTTTTCTAGATATTTACCAATATAGATATATCGATATGTATCTAGATACATATTAAAATTAGAAACCCTGGGTCAAAAGAAATGCATTTTAAAAATTTCAGCAGATACTGTTACACTCCCCTTCAAAAAGGCTGGAGCACTTGACATTCCCATCACCAGTGCCCATCTCTTCAGAGCTTTATGAACCTGATATCCCTCCATCCGAAACAACAGGTAAAATATCTCCCACTGTTGTTTTAATACCCATGTTCCCAATTACTTGTCAAATTGAATATCCTGTGGTATGCTTGTTGATGTGTATAGTTCTGGGAATAACATATTCATGTACATCTTTTGCTCATTTTTCTGTTACAATTTGGCCTTTCTCTACTTGGTTTATAAAAATGCAACTCATTTTTTAATTTTTTCTTTAATTTCCTCGAGTTTGCTAGATTTATAGTCTAGCCAAAAAACACTTTTAAAAAAATGCTTACTTTCTATGTTCTTGTTCTTTACCTCTGATGTCTAATTGCTGCTAGCAACATCACTAGTATTAGGCCTGGGGCATTTTGTGTATTAAATAGCACTGCAACTTTTTATTCTTTAGACAAAACTTCAAACCCTTATTAAAAAGAATATCATTTAGGGGCGCCTGGGTGGCTCAGTCGTTAAGTGTCTGCCTTCGGCTCAGGTCATGATGCCAGGGTCCTGGGATCGAGCCCTACATCGGGCTCCTTGCTTGGCCAGGAGGCCTGCTTCTCCCTCTCCCACTCGCCCAGCTTGTGTTCCTGCTCTCGCTGTCTCTCGCTCGCTCGCTGTCAAATAAATAAATAAAAAATCTTTTAAAAATAAAAAAAACAAAAAGAATGTCATTTAATTTTGGTTTGCTTTTCTTGTCAACAAAAGAGAGGCAGTAAAGTGCTCAGTTAATGATGACCAATGGCCTAGGTTCAGATACTCACTCTGCCACTTACTAAGTAGTACATAACCTGGGACAAGTTACTTAGACCAAGTCTCGGTTTCCTCAGTCACAAAATAGGAATTTAGTACATTCATAGTTCAGTTTGAGAATTTTAAAAAGATCATTCTTATGAAGAAAGCACTTAGCACAAGCACTTACCACACAGTAAGTGTTCAATAAATGTAACCAATATTATTATAGCTAAAAAGAGACAACTAGCTGTATGAGTTTCAAATATATAGCAGTATTACCAAGAAACAAAATTTTGGTCAGCACAGAAGGCAATGTGTGATCTCTTTCATTCATGTATGTCCTCTACATAGTAAATAATCAAGGAGAAAGGGTTGTCAAGAAACTTTAAAAATCCAGTCTCTGTGGGGCAAAGTGCCATCACCAGTTTTGCTTCTAAAAGCCTACTCAATACACAAACGTTCAATCACAATTCTGTACTACACTTACGATTTTTGTGGCCTAGTGTCATAATTCTATCCATATCATCAGCATTATTTACCACGTAAGCTGATAAATCTTTGATGTAAACTCCCACATCAGGTCTTTCTTTAACCTAAAAAAGAAAAAAGAAAAGAAAAAATGACCCTAAGATTTTATGCACATACCGTAATTCCACCACAGTTATCAAACATGTACTATGTGTTGGACACTCTGCTAAAAAGTGAGGATACAGTGATGGACAAGGTAGATGTGGTTTCTACACCTGCAGAGGTGACAACCTACGATGAGAACGTACAAATGAGTAACACCACACACTAATTATTTCAACTGGGATAATGTCACGAAGGAAAAAGACACAGGACACTATTGAGAATACACCATAGAGAGACTAAGCTAGTAAAGTAGGGACATGCAGTTTCCCCAAGATGATGTTTATTATTTTTTTTAAAGATTCCATTTATTTATTTATTTATTTAAGATTTTATTTATTTGCGAGAGAGAGAATGAGAGACAGAGAGCATGAGAGGGGGGAGGGTCAGAGGGAGAAGCAGACTCCCCGCCGAGCAGGGAGCCCGATGCGGGACTCGATCCCGGGACTCCAGGATCATGACCTGAGCCGAAGGCAGTCGCTTAACCAACTGAGCCGCCCAGGCGCCCCCATTCATTTATTTTTGAGAGAGAGAGAGAATGAGCACACGTGCAGGCAGGGGGAGTGGCAGAGGGAGCGGCAGAGGGAGAAGCAGACACCCCGCGGAGCAGGGAGCCCGACTTGGGACTCAATCCCAAGACCCCGGGACCATGACCCGAGCCGAACGCAGACGCCTAACTGACCGAGCCACCCAGGTGTCCCCCAAGATGACGTTTAAGCTAAGACTTGATGAAATAAGAGGTAGCCAATCTGGGTTTGGGTAGCAGGAAAAGATTATGTGCTAGGATCCTGAAATGGGCCAAAACCAGGCACTTAAAAAAAAAAAAAAAAAAAAAAAAGCCAAGTTGGCTGGGAAGAGTAGGAAGCACAGGTAAAATAGGTGGGATATCTGGCGAGAGAGGTACCCAGAGGTAAGACTAAGCATAGTTATTGGTCTTTATCTTAACAGCAACTTGAAGATCATGGAGGATTTCAAACAAATGAGTGAAATAAACAGATCTATGACATCTATGTAAAAATGTTACCTTTCTGTGAGTAACTTTATTTACCAAATATGAAGGATATATAAATACAGTCAGAAATATAAAATTCACTTTGTAAGGCCCTAGAAGTCACCGCCACAAGTAACAAAATACATGTATCCTCAAGAGCTACTGTAGGTTGGGTTGCAGACCACCACAATAAAGCGAATACTCAAACCATGTCAAACGAATTTCTTGGTTTCCCACTCCATATACAATTACGTTTACATTACACTGTAATCTTTTAAGTGTATGATAGCATTATGTCTAAATAACAGTAATATATAACTTAATTAAGAAATATTTTATTGCTAGGGGTGCCTGGGTGGCTCAGTCGTTAAGCGTCTGCCCTCAGCTCAGGTCATGGTCCCAGGGTCCTGGGATCGAGCCCCACGTTGGGCTCCCTGCTCGGCAGGAAGCCTGCTTCTCCCTCTCCCACTCCCCCTCCTTGTGTTCCCTCCCTCGATGTGTCTCTGTCAAATAAATAAAATCTTTAAAAAAAATTTTTTTTATTGCTAAAAATGCTAACCATCATCTGAGCTTTCAGCCAGTCGACACCTTTTTGCTGGTGGAGGGTCTTATCTCAATGCTGACGGCTGCTGACTGGTCAGGGCGAGGAAGCTGAAGGCTGGGGTGGCTGTGGCAGGGGTGGCTGTGGCAGTTTCCTAAAATGATACAACAAAGCTTGCGGCAATGACTGACTCTTCCTTTCAAGAATGATCTCTCCATAGAACGTGATGCTGTTTGCTAGCACTTTACCCACAGCAGAACTTCTTTCAAAACTGGAGCCAATCCTCTCAAACCCTGCCACTGCTCTATCAACAAAGTTTATGAAATATTCTAAACCCTTTGTTGCCATTTCAACAGTCTTCACAGCATCTTCACCAGGAGTAGATTCCATCTCAAAAAACCACTTTCTTTGTTCATCCGTAAGAAGTAACTCCTCATCCATTAGGTTTTATCATGAGATTGTAGCGATTCAGCCACATCTTCAGGCTCCACTTCTCAACCTAGTTCTCTTGCTGTTTCCACCACATCTGCACTGACTTCCCCCACTGAAGTCTTGAACTCCTCCAAGTCATCCATGAGGGTTGGAACTGACTTCTTCCACACTCTTGTTAATGCTGATATTGTGATTGCTTCTCATGAGTCATGAATGTTCTTAATGGCATCTAGAAGTGTGAATCCTTTCCAGAAGATTTTCAATTTACTTTGCCCAGATCCCTTAGAGGAATAACTCTCTATGGCAGCTATAGCCTTAGGAAATGTATTTCTTCAATAACAAGACTTGATCCATGGGCTGTAGAATGGACGTCATGTTAGCAGGCATGAAAACAACACTCATCTCATTGTACATCTTCATCAGTGCTCTTAGGTGACCCGGTGCACAGTCAATAAGTAGTAATATTCTGACAGAAATCTTTTTCTCTGAGGTCTCAACAGTGGACTTAAAATATTCAGTGACCCATGTTGTGGACAGACGTGCTGTCATCCGGCCTTGTTGTGCCATTTATAGATGAAAGACAAAGTATATTTAGCATAATTCTTAAGGGTCCTAGGAGTTTTCCGAGTGTTAAATGAGCACTGGCTTCAACTTATAGTCACCAGTTGCATTAGCTTGTAATAAGAGAGTCAGTGTGTCCTTTGAAGCTTTGAAGCCAGGCACTGACTTCACTTCTCTAGTTATCAAAGTCCTAGACAGCATCTTCTTCCAACAGAAAGCTGTGTGATCTGCATTGAAAATCTGCTGTTTAGTGTAGCCGCCTTCATGAGTTATCTTAGCTGGAACTCCTGGTTAACTTGCTACAGCTCCTACATCAGCAGGTGCTACTTCATCTTGCACTTTCATGTTATGGAGATGGCTTCCTGAAACCTCATGAACTAACCCTTGCTAGTTTCAGACTTTTCTCGTACAGCCTCCTTACCTCTCTTAACCTTCACAGAATTGAAGAGAGTTAGGGCCTTGCCCTGGATTAGGCTTTGGCTAGGAGAATGTTGTGGCTAGTATGACCTTTTGTCCAAACCACTAAAACTTTCTCCACATCAGTAACAAGTCTGTTTGCTTCCTTATCATGTGTGTGTGCACTAGAGTAGCGCTTTTCATTTCCTTCAGGAACTCTTCTTTTACAGTCAAAAGCTGCTAACTATTTGGTGCAGGAGGCCTAACTTCCAGCCTATCTTGGCTTTCCACTGCCTTTCTCACTAAACTTAATCATTTCTAGCTTCTGATTTAAGGAGACGCGTGACTCTACCTTTCACTTGCACACTTACAGGCCACTGTGCGGTTAATTGGCCTAATTTCAGTATTGCTGTCTGTCAGGGAATAGAGAGTCCCAAGGAGAGAAAGAGAAACAGGGACAGGGCAGTCAGCGGAGCGGTCAGAACACACACATTTATTAAGTCTGCTGTTTTATTTGGGCATGGTTTGTGGCACACCACGAACAATTACGATGGTAACATCAAAGATCACTGATCACAGATCACTGTAACAAATACAGTAACAATGAAAAAGTTTGAAATACTGCAATAATTACCAAAACGTGACACAGAGACATGAAATGAGCAACTGCTGTTTGAAAAATGGTGCCAACAGGTTGCTGGACACAGGGTAAAAAATGCGGTATCTGGAAAGCGCAATAAAGCGAAGCACCGTAAGACGAGGTATGCCTGTAAAGTGAAGCTGAGGCTGAGGTCGATGGCTGCCAGTGGAGTGACCACAGGTAGCAGGACCTCACAAAGATGACAAACGAAAGTTTAAAAAACAATCCCAAGACAAAAATCACAAGGGCAGACGCTCCAAGTTCCAGGTGTTGACTTGAGATCTAGTTGGGGGTTTGGGAGTTTTTTGTTCTTTTTGGGTAACAATTTATAAGATATATTAATATATTAGGAAAAACTACTCTTTCTGTCATGGGATATAAATATGCCCTAATTTATTAGTAGTAAAGGAGTAGGCTGGCCTCTATAAACCAGTGGGGGTCGAAATGTGCTGTGAGAACCCCATGGTGCCCTGCGGAGGCTGCTGTAGGAGTTTGGGTGTCCTCAGACTGAGACAAATTCTAAAGAGAGCTTCACTTTCGTGTGAAGTTTTGACACTGTGCTTCCATGTAAAGGTCTGGTTTGATGAATGTATTTAAATGCATTAAAACTTTTAAATGTTTGAAAATTACTGGTCTGTATCAATGCTTCTCAGAAAATCTATGGTAAAGAACAATGTGTGTATTTCTAATCTGCCAAACTGCTATTTCTGAAAAATATAAAAATCATGCATCTGATGTCATGGCAATGTCAAATTGCTATAAGCGTTTACTCTCACATTCTGCACTCATGTCACCGCAGACTGGAAACACGCTTCTAACAGGCATTAGTCTGCAAAATCTAAGGTCATTTCCAATCACAATATGACATTAATTCAAAATTCAATTAATAAGTGTAAATAAAATGATTAGATATGAAAGATGAAGAAATCAAATGTGATTCTAAATTTGTGAAAGTTGTTTTTTTTTTTTTTTTTAAGATTTTATTTATTTGACAGAGAGAGAGATAGCGAAAACAGGAACACAAGCAGGGGGAATGAGGGAGACGCAGGCTTCTTGCCGAGCAGGGAGACCGATGTGGGATTCGATCCCAGGACCCTGGGATCATGACCTGAGCCGAAGGCAGACGCTTAACGACTGAGCCACCCAGGCGTCCTGTGAAAGTTTTTTTTTAATTGGGTAATACTTCAAATAATTTTTGTCAGGGGCACCTGGCTGGCTCAGTCGGTTAAGCGTCTGCCTTCGGCTCAGGTCATGATCCCAGGGTCCTGGGATCAAGTCCCGCATCAGGTTCCCTGCTCAGCGGGGAATCTGCTTCTCCCTCTGCTGCTCCCCCTGCTCATGGGCACGGGCTCTCTCTCTTTCTCTCACATGAATAAATAAAATCTTTAAAAATAGTCATTTTTGTCATAAAAATATAGAAATTTAACTTCTGTAACAAATACTGTTTATAACACTAGAAGAACAGATCTCAAAGGAGCAGTTACTCCCAACCTAGAATGCTTCAGAGATTTAGAGGGGGAGTTTCTGGTTCATTTGAGGGCACTAGTGGCATTCATAGGCAGGAGCAACGGGCACTGAACATCCTGAAATGGGTGGGATGGTCTGCCAATAAAGAAATGCCCCCACAATTTTGAATGTCTTAGCATATATTCACATGGGTGAAAAAAATTCCTTATGATTACCTGTGTCTAGACCCTGACTCTGTTTTATATATATAAACAAAGTGCTTTTCCACAATAATAATAAAGGAATAGAAATACAGAGAACTGAAGAAAGAACTACTACTTTATTTTGTTCAGAACCCTACCAAGAACTTGTCACTATTTTAAAAAACCATTTCATTGACAGTAACACCACTCAAGGTATTTAGATCACCAAGACAGCATATCTGTAACAGTCTGCATTTATAGCTGTTGCATTCATAATGATTACTCATGCCTCTGACTACTTCATTATGTCATTGAGTGTTGTCACATCTAAGCATTTATATAATGAAATACTAGCATTTTATTTTTTCAGTACTTTGTTCTCATTTGTATTACAATTGGTCACTATACAAATAATTGAAAAATTATGTGTGTAGGTAGATTTTATTATCTATGAATTTTATTTCAGAATAGTTAAAGGGACATTACAAAATATATGTTATAAAAATGGGGCCCTGGGTCTAATACAGTTGAGAATCATTGACGAGAATGTTCCTGAGAATAAATCTGATCTGTAATTACTGATACAAATGGAAATGTTTTTTCTAAATGATTTTTATTCTAATAATTTCTGCAATAAGAAACTTTTAAAAGGTGAAAGTATAGAATTAAAGTATCCATCAAAACTGACGTCAAAGATGACAACTAGAAAAAAAGAAACTTACCTTGACATTTCCTGTGTATACATCATCATTACAGAATAAGCTTTCATTAAGGTCCAGCAAATAATACCTAAGCCTGTAATACACTGCTCCAAAAGCTCAGTTTATACAGTAAACTTAAAAAGGGTAGGGGCTCCTGGATGGCTCAGATGGTTAAGCATTCGACTCTTGATTTCAGCTCAGGTCATGATCTCAGGGTCCTGAGATCAAGCCCCGTGTCGGGCTCTGCACTGGGCATGGAGCCTGCTTAAGATACTCTCTCTCTCCCTCTCCTTTCCCTCTAAGGGGAAAAAAAAAAAGGCTAACATTTATTTAATACTATCTTACGTGTCAAGCCTTGATTTAAACACTTTGTATTAATTTGTTAATGCTGGCAATAATCCTATGAAGTAGATACTGTTATTACTTCCATTTGCATGTGGCAAAACTAAGGCTCATATAGGTTAAATAACTTGCTCAAGATATCATAGCCAGAACTCAAGCTATGATGGAAGGACTCCAAAAACCATCCCTGTAATTCTAGATGATACCACCATTCGCCTGCTACATGACTGTCAGGAAACCCCTCTAGGTTTTGGTTTTCACAGCAACAAAACTGAACTGCTAGGAAGATTAAATGAAATAAACTATGTACTACTACCACAATTTACTGTACTGAATGCCTACTATCACATTACAAGAGCTTAATAATAGTAGCTGCTGTTATTCTACATGTATTCTACACCATTCTACAAAGGTGGCTACTGTTATTCTGTATTCTATTCAGCTACTATATGCACATTATTCTTTAATTATTTTACTGACAATGGAATTCTAAACAAAATTCCAGTATTAACATTTTAAAGGCTAACCCTCTTTTGTCTCACATCCTAAAATATTCGGCAATATTTACCAATGGTTCACCACCTGACCCAGCAATCCAGCTTCAGGAATTTATCCTCAGATATGCCTGCACATGTATGAAGTCATATATATAAAACACGACTTACTACAGAATTGTTTGTAACAGCAAAAGATTAGAAACAATCCAAGTGTTCATCAAGAGAGGGCTGTTCCCTATAAAGAACAGTATACAGCTTTTTTTTTTTTAACATTTTTTTTTTTTTATTTATTTGAGAGAGAGAAAGAGCACAGAGGGAGAGTGAGAGAGAGAAGCAGACTCCCCACCGAGCAGAGAGCCTGACGCTGGGCTCCATCCCAGGACCCTGAGATCATGACCTGATATCTATGACAACTGGATATCCACATGCACAATAATGAAGTTGGTCCTCTACCTCAACCATATACAAAAATTAACTCAAAATGGATCAAAGATCTAAATATAAAAGCTATAACTATAAAACTCTTCGAATAAAACAAAAACATAAATCTTCATTCAATTCTGGAGTACTCTTAGCCCTTATACCAGAAAATGAAAACTTACATTCATGTAAAAATCTGTGTGCAAATGTTCATAGATGCTTGATTCATAACAGCCAAAAACTATAAACTGCCTAGATGTCCTTCAACAGGTGAACGGTGGAACTTTACATGTATACACCATGCAGTGCCACTCAGCAATAAAAAGTAAATGAACTATCAATACATGCAACAACTTGGATAAATCTCAGGGGGGTTATGCCAAGTGAAAAAGGCTGATCCCAAAAGGTTACATATTGTACAGTTCTATTTACGTGTCATTTTTGAAAAGACAAAATTCTAGAACTTGAAAGCAGATTAGGGATTGTCAGGGGTGAGGGATGGTGACAGAGCAATGCAGTCTGGCTAGACGTGGACATGGTCATAAAAGGGTAACAGGAGGCATCTCTGTGATACGACTGTTTAGTACCTTAATGTGGTAGTGGATCTGTCAATCTAAACACAAAGAGGACAAGAAAAGCTGGAGCACTGTGAGTACAATCTGTAGACTGTATCAACGACAGTATCATGGTTGTGATACTCTACTACAGCTCTGTAAAATGTTACCACTGGGGAAAACTGTGTAAAAGGTACATCTATGTAAAGGGAACTCTCTCCATATTCTTTCTTACAGCCACATGACTCTACGCTTATCTGAGTAAGAATTTTAATTTTAAAAAAAAGTGCAGATCAGGGGCACCTGGGTGGCTCAGATGGTTAAGCATCTGCCTTTGGCTTAGGTCATGATCCCAGGGTCCTGGGATCAAGTCCTGCATCGGGCTCCCTGCTCAGCGGGGAGCCTGCTTCTCCCTCTGCCTCTACCACTCCCCCTGCTTGTGCTCTCTCTCTCTCTCTGTGTCAAATAAACAAATAAAATCTTTAAAAAAAATTTTTTTTAATAAAAAAAGTGCAGATCAAGGTACATGTGTAACTACTTATGGAGTAGAAGTAAAATTGTATTTGTTGATACTTACATAAAGGAACAATGAAGGAATACTGAAAGCAGTTATCTTAGGGTAAAAGTGAGCAGATGGGGTAGGAACAACTTTTCAAAGCATTAATTTTCACAGTATTTTAAATTTTGAATCATGATCATATTACCAGGTCAAAAAAATAAGTAAAATATTAAAAATACCTTTGGACAAAAAGAACCTTAATTTAAAAAAAAAAAAAAAAGAACCTTAATTTAGTAAACTTCTACTACTTTGGAAAGTACCCCAATTTCAGTTATCCTTACCTCTAACCTCTGTGTCTGATCCTTGCCCAAAAGGTCACGGACTTCTTCATTATATATTTCCAAATAAGACACTCGAACCAAAAATCTATAAATAAAACATCATTTTAGGAAGCATAAAGAGCAGAGAAATACTTATAAGAGTAGTTTTCAAATGTGTTTATAAGCTTTATATCTATATGCCTTTCTTGTGTTTGTACTTCTCAATATTAGAAAATAAAAGAATTCTCTTTTACCTTGTATCACCCTCTGCTTTTGCAATATGACCAAATATGTGAGCAAATGAATTTGGAATGATTCCTCTAAGTTCAGGAACAGCTCGAACACCTTCCATGGTAAAAGTTTTGCCTGTTCCAGTTTGTCCATATGCAAAAATAGTTCCTGAAAATGATGAAGAGAATCAAATCACTTTTTATTATTTTTTATTTTTTTCAAATCACTTTTTAGAGTCTAATGCTACAGAACAATAATAACTCTTAAAAGTAATTTCTTTGACACTGTGATGCAATTTCTTCCCTGGATTTAAAATTTATTCAAGTACAAATTTCTTTTTTTTTTAAAGATTTTATTTATTTGACAGACAGAGACATAGCAAGAGAGGGAACACAGCAGGAGGAGTTGGAGAGGGAGAAGCAGGCTTCCCGCCGAGCAGGGAAGTGTCTGAGCCAAAGGCAGACACTTAATGACTGAGCCTCCCAGGCACCCCTACAAATTTCACTTATATTATCAACAATAACAATATGTACTCTGTGCCACATGAGCCAAGCACTGTTAAAGTTCTCAAGTCAATGAGATTCCTAATTATTAATGAAAAGTATTCCAAGCCCTAAAAGCAAAATTTTACATTATGGCTAATTATAAGAAATTTACTATAATGTGTATGCTAATTACTTAATGTGGACATTAAATTGGAGAAGGTAGTGTAATTGCAGCAATAAAAGAATACAGGTTCTATAACGGAAAGACCTCAGTGTGAATCCACACATCTGCCACTTTTAGCCACCTGAGCTTAGACAAGAGATTGTCTCTCAGACTCAGAGATTGTCTCCTCAGTGGTAAAACGAGGATAAGAATAACTACCCGACATGAACAGTAAGAACCAAATGAAACAGTTTACTCCTCATGACCAGCATGATGCCTGGTAGAGTACAAGCAAATGGCAGGTTTTTTTCTTCTTAATCCTAAAATAAATTCATTTTAAAAATACGTATTTTTTAAGTAAAATCTGTAAGGAATGGGGGAGTTAAAAAATGTGACAATTCTTATAGGTAATTATAGATACAATTTGAACTTTCTACATACCTAAATTCATTAATTCAGCAACTACTTAGCACACACCTGAGTATGGCATATGCTAGGCACCAGGGACACAATGACAAACAAGACAAACAGAATCCTTAATTTTATGGTGTGCATCATCTTGGAGAGGGGATACTGGTCAAATATTTACAAGCAGGATGAGTGTTGGGAATAAGAAACGGAGTTCTAGCTGAGAGTAAAGGGATACAATCTAGGCAGGAGAAATGACACAAGGGGAAAGTGGAGGGAAGTCAAGAAAGGCGTTCCAGAAAAGGTAAGGTTCAAGATACAATCTGAAATATAAGTAAGAATTAGAGAGCAACAGAGTGGACAGCAAAAAGAAAGAAAGAGAACAGAGGTTTTGAGGAAATGAAATGAGATCAGAATGGAAGAAGCGGAGATGGAAAATGAAGGCAGATGGACACAGAGGTAAAGACACCACAAGGGCCTAATTGCACACCGCCATGAAGGCCACGCTGAGGTTTTAAGAACTAATCCTAAAAGCAAAGTGAAGCCATAGAATGATTTTGCAGTTAGAAGTGACATCAGGATCACTATGGCTACACTGTGTACAAAGAACTGGAACAAAGCAAGAGGAGATGTGAAGAAGCCAGTCAAAGAGCTGGAGTGGTTAGCCAAATGAGACACGGTGTTGACAACAGAAGAGAACGAGAAAAGGTGGAAGGATTTCAGAGCCATGTAACCGTTAGAAGCAACAGCACCTGGGAAATAACTAGCCAGGGGATCACTGAAAAGGAGGAATCCAGGATGACTTTTCAAATTTCTGGCTTGAACAAGGGATGTATGGCTGGTGAACACCACCAGAAGAAATGACGGTTTGAAGGGAAAGACTGAATTCAGTTGAGTGCATGCTGAGCTCTAAGTGCCCATGACAACCCAAATGCATGTGGCAAGCAGGCAGGTGGAGGGATGAGATGTATGTGCCCAGTGAAGCCCTGGGAGCGGGTGCAATTTCTGCAGGAGACAGCACAGTGTGAGAAGACAGCACAACTGACACGGCTTTTCAACTACTTCCACCCCATGCAAGTAACCTCTTATGTCCCCATCATTTTCAGACTTTCCGTGACAATCATCACAATACTTAATCATGGCAGAAGCCATTTTTTATACATGGGAATTAAAAAAATCTTGATTTTTTTCTAACTCGCTAAATATTTCAAACTATGCCATTAAGAACGTAACGTATTGCCTTCAAGAGAGCTGAAAATATTATGAACTCACAGACCGTATGTGAGAGCCGACACAATGGCTATCATTTACTGATCATCTACTATGTGCTAGGTCACGTACTTTACACACATCCTCACTGAATTTTCACCCCAATCCTAAGAGCAAGGCACTATTTATTTTCCCATACTTTAGCTAAGGAAACAAAGGCTTAGAGAGGTTGAGTTACTTGTTCAATGTCATAGTAAGTGGTAGAAACAAGATGTGAACACAGTCCATTTGGCTCTAGAGCCCTTATTTTTTAAAAGTATGTAATGGCCAAAACTTTAATTCAAAGTTAATTTCCAATAAAATTTCTATGAATTCATTAAATAATGAAGATTACGGATTCAAAAAGGATATTGATCTGTAATTTTAAAGCTGAGAAATGAGGACCAGGAATCCCCTAGAATAAAAGAATCTCATCTCATTTTCAGAGATGAAATTCCAAATTTCTAGTTTTTGTATGTCCAACTTAACAAATCTAATGCTAGCATTTCTTTAAGATGAACTTCTCTTAAAACTTTACTTTTTAGGAGCACCTGGGTGGCTCAGTCGTTAAGTGTCTGCCTGCAGCTCAGGTCATGATCCCAGGGTCCTGAGATCGAGTCCCACATAGGGCTCCCTGCCCGGCGGGAAGCCTGCTTCTCCCTCTCCCACTCCCCTTGCTTGTGTTCCCTCTCTCACTGTGTCTCTCTGTCAAAAAATAAATAAATAAAATCTTCAAAAAAAAAACAAACTTTACTTTTTAAAAACTAAAAATGACCTGAAATTTTACCCAAACTCCCCATTTCATGACTACATCTTAAAAATGGTAGAAAGCCTACAAAAAATCTGCATATGGATGTTTAAGCAGTGCATATTCATAACTACCAAAATTTGGAAGCAAACAAGATGTCCTTCCATATGTAAGTGAACTGATAAATAAACTGTGGTACATCCAGACAATAGATTATCATCAGTGCAAAAAAAGATACAAGCTATCAAGCCATGAAAGACATGGAGAAAACTTCAGTGCATATTACTAAGTGAAAGAAGCCAAACTGAAAGGTTACATATTATACAATTGTAACTGTATGACATTCTAGAATAGGTGAAACTACGGAGACAGTAAAAAGATTAGTGGTTGGTAGGCTTAGCCGGGGAAGGAAGGATAAACAAGCAGAGCAGAGGTGAAATTATCTTTTATGATATTATAATAGTGGATACACATCATATTTTTGTCAAAACCCATAGGATGTACAACCCCAAAAGTGAACCCTAATGTAAACTATGGACTTTGGATGATACTGATGTGTCAATGTATGTTCATCACTGTAACAAATGTACCACTGTGGTGAAAGATGTTGATAGTGGGGAACTTTGTATATGTTTGGACATAAGGGATATGTGGGAAATCTCTGTACTTTCCTTAATTTTGCTATAACCTAAAGCTGTTCTAAAAAAGCTTATTAATTAAAAAAAAAGTTTTAAATGGTGGAAGGATTATGTACTTGCCATTGCACATTTGAATAATGCCAAGTAAACACTATTTAATAGCATTCCTGATTTTTGTCCTTTTTAAACATATTGTTCTATGTTATCATCAACAATTTTCAGTCAGAAGAGGTGGAAAATAGGTGAAAAGTCCCTTGACATCTATATACTACTCCGTACAACATTTATTTTTTAAAATACACAATTCTGTTATTTCAAAATTAAATGAGTGACACTTCTGCTTCCAACAAAGAGTAACAAGGACCAGATTTACCCTCTTGACGGAAACAAAAAGCAGACAAAATATATGAAGCAACAGTTTTCAAGACAATGAACCTCAGTCAATAAAGGGCTGTGATCCCCAAAGTTGGCAAACAGGTAAGTCAGGCCCTATGACTGCCCAGCTTCCTGCCTTGGGAGAGAATCAACCACAGAGCAGGAAGGGGAATCCAAGGAGTGATGAGCAGATTCTCTGAGTCAAGAAGGAGCCCAGAGTCCAGAGAGACCAACGCAGCTAGAATTTGTAGGACACAGTAGCGGAGAGGATAACACCGTGCAGAAAGCTGCAGATTCCAGAGGTCTGCAGGTCTTCCTCAAATATTCAGCTGAGTACTAAGCATCTCAAGAGTATGAGGAAACTATCTAAATGGGGGTGGGGGGTGGGAATCATTTGGAAGGAAGAGTCCTCAATGCTCACAAAGGCCAGAAACAGTATCTGTTTACACCAGCCAGACTGGAAAACCTCATGAAGCACAGGAAATTAGGTACAGTAAACAAAAGGGTCTTGCCTCTGAATTAGGGGAATAACCTTAGACCGATCACTACTCCAGTCCTAACTAAAGATCTTAAAAAGATCTGAAAGAGCCAGAGAAAGATAAATACCGTATGATTTCATTCATATGTGGAATTTAAGAAACAAAACCGATGAACATAGGGGAAGGGAAGGAAAAATAAGATGAAATTTGAGAGGGAGGCAAACCATAAGAGACGCTAAACTCTAGGAAACAAACTGAGGGTTGCTGGAGGGGAGATGGGGGGATGGGGTAATTGGGTGATGGGCATTAAGGAGGGCACTTCAAGTAATGAACACTGATGAATCACTAAATTCTACCTCTGCAACTAATAAAAAAAAAAGATCTGAAAGAATCAAACCATTTTCAGATAACTGCAACTGAGAACAAAGCTCATGAACACTTACAGGAATTAAAAAAATCCAAGAGCCAAGGTAAAATTCAGTGTCTGGCATCCAACCAAAATTTGCCAAGCTTGCAAAAAAGCAAAAAGATACAACTCATAATAAAGAAATCCATCAATCAGTCAAAACCAATTCAGGACTGACACAAATGTTAGAATTAGCACACAAAGACATTAAAACAGTT